TCTTTGTCCCACTTTTTTCTTCTACCTTCATTTTTCTAGCTTTCATCAATCTTCCATTCTTAGCTCCGTTCTTCATTTCCTTTCTTTCGTTCCTTTCTTCTTTTTTTCTATCATTTTTCTCTCTTCTTTCTTTCTTTCGTTTTTTCTTTCTTTCTTTCTTTCTTTCTTTCTTCGTCTCATTCTCTCTTCTTCGCTTGATTTATTTAGCTTTCATCAACCTTATATTCTTAGCTGCGTTCTTCCTTTTCTCTCCTTTGTTCCTTTTGTTCCTTTCCTCCTTCCTGCCTTGCTTGATATTTCTTTGTTTCTTTCTTTCTTTCTTTGTTTCTTTCATTTTCTTTTTTCTTTCTTTTTTCTTTCTACTTTTTTCTTCACGCTTTTTTCTAGCTTTCATCAATCTTCCATTCTTAGCTCCGTTCTTCATTTCCTTTTTTTCGTTCCTTTCTTCTTTTTTCTATCATTTTCTCTCTTCTTTCTTTCTTTCGTTTTTTCTTTTCTTTCTTTCTTTCTTTCTTGTCTCATTCTCTCTTCTTCGCTTGATTTATTTCAACCTTTCATCAACCGTTCTTATATTCTTAGCTTTGTTCTTTTTCCTTTTCTCTGCCCTTGATATTTCTCCTTTCTTTCTTTTTCCCTTTTTTTCCTTCAACTTTCATCAATCTTTGAACATTTCCTTTTTTTCGTTCCTTTCTTTTTTTCTATTTTTTGTCTTTCTTTCTTTCGTTCTTTCGTTCTTTTTTCTTTCTTTTTCTCATTTTTTCTTTTATTTCAGCTTTCATCTTATATTCTTCCCTTCTTCCTTTTCTCTCCTTTCTTCCTTTTTCTTTTCTTTCTTTCTTTTCTGTTTCTTTTTTCTCATGTTTTCTTTTTGTCTCTTTTTCTCGTTTTCATTTATTTAGCTTTTCATCTCCGTTCTTCATTTTCTTTTTCTTTCTTTGCGTTTCTCCATTTCACATCCTTAGTTCTTTTCGTTCTCCATTTCCCTCTTTTCTCCCCTCTTCCTTTGATATTTCTTTCTTTTTTTCTTTCTTTTTTTGTTTGTCTCATTTTGTCATCTTTTCATTTATTTAGCTTTCATCAAGCTTCCATTCTTCATTTCACTCCTTAGTTCCTTCCTTCCCTCATCCCTTTCTTGCTCTTTTTTCTTTTTTATATTTTTATTGATATATTTATTTGTCTTATTTTCTCTTTTTTTCTTCCTTTAATTAGTTTCCATCAACCTTCTATTCCTAGGTCAGTTTTCCTTGTCCTTCTTTCGTTACTTGTTTCTTTCTTTCTTTGTCCCATTTTCTCGTCTACGCTTCATTTATTTAGCTTTCATCAACCTTCTATTCTTAACTCCGTTTTTCATTTTCCTTATTTATTTCTCTCCTTCCTTCCTCGCTCTTTCTTTCTTTCTTTGTCTCATTTTTTTTCTTATTCGCTTCATTTATTTAGCTTTCATCAACTTCCATTCTTAGTTCCTTTCTTCATTTCCTTCCTTCCTTCCTTCCTTCCTTCCTTCCTTCCTTCCTTCCTTCCTTCCTTCTTCGTCTCATTTTCACAATATTCTAAATTGAGGACCATGCCATGGTAGTTCTGGAGGCCATAGTTCTCAAAATGTGTCCCAAAGGAGAGTCTCGTATGTCATCTCCGACGAGACTAACTTCAAAAATAACATTTGAAATTATCCTAACAAAACAGAATAAAAATTATCGTTCATAACTGTTTCACATTATAATATTGCTACAATATTGCTTTTCAGTCAAATCTTCAACAATTGAAACACAATCGTTATCTTCTGTTTTCTTGATTCCGGCTTAAGTCTTGTTCTCTCATTTTAATTTTTTTTTCTTTATTTTGTATTCTTTCACATTCAGCAACTCCTTATGATTTAGTGGCTTTATTGCGTTGGTTGAGATGAAATGATTAAAAATGCATCTTGCTTCAAAGCGTTGAAGAATACAGTCTCCTTATCGTTATTATCAGTGGCTTATTAAGAAAGAAAATCGAGTGGTTTCCTGTTATTTTTGCCATTTTTCTTTTCTCTTAACCTGGTTGCTACCCAAGACTATATAACTGTAGCTAATGACGAGAAGAAACAGGCCCGCTGTATTTCGAACGACTGATGCGAAAGTGAACGCAACAAACTAGTAAGAAACGCTCTCCACAAAGCCTAATGGATTGATTAAATATAGATTAGTATTAGTAGACTTTGTGTGATCGCGACTTTCCACGGTCTTTTTTATTATCTGTGAATTGCGATGACTTCTCGTCAAAGATAATTGATTCGTATTTTATTGCTTTATCCATATATTTTTTTTAATTAATTCAAAGTAGTCCTAGATGGATTCTCGCTTTTCTTAAGGGTATTAGTGGGAAAATGAATGCAAGAGACGAAACCAGAATTTGAATTCAGCTCCCCGATTAAATTTTCCGCGCCCGATAAACGTTGCGTTGCCAACAATTCCTATTTCCGTGGTAATCGCACCTGTGCTATATTTCTCTTTATTTCCGATGGGGGAAGTTGCTCAGCCCCTGAGATTCCAATCCCGCGGGAGCACCTTCCTCATCGCACTAAAGAGGTTAGGTCGGTCTAATACCAACGCCAGCGTGACAGTGGTCGCAGGGGCTGAATAAAACCACATTTTTTGGTTTTGGATAATTATGCGTACGGCGCGCCCCAAGTCGAAACGACCTTGTGTCACATCCAGCGTTGGTGGAGAGGGCGGGTAAATATCTACTTTACTTTTCGCTGTCCGAGTTTTCCCTTATATATATACATGTGAGTGTGTGTGTGTGTGCATATATATATATATATATATATATATATATATATATATTCTTCGTTTAATAATTTAGCCTTTCATTCATTTATTCCTTCTTCACCTTCTCTTGTCCTCCCTCTTTCTTTTTTACTTTCGTTTCTTTGTTCGTATTTTCTTCCTTAACTTTGCATCTTTTGTCTTGCTGATTAAGGCGGCATTGTTTCCCGCTTTGTCAGTTGAAGACATACAATTACAAAATGTTCCATGTAGATTTTACTCTTAATACCTTACATCACGCCTTTTTTTATCCAACAATATTCTATTCATTAGATGAAGCTATCATTTTGTAACATATCTCAAACGTACAATGAGGGCGCTTGATGTAGAACCATGTAATCTGAGTTAAGCTGCTGTTAATCCAATCGATATTCTTTCTTTTTTATTTCAACTTTAGCATTTTCTTTAATTGAATTTTAATAAATAGACGGTACAATACAGTGACATATATTTGAGGACACTTAAGGATAACTAATACAATTGCACCGGAAACTTCTGCGCAAACGTATCGCGTTGTACTGGATGAATTTATGCTTAATACATGGTATCAATAAGAAAGAAAGCCTTTGATAATGACCATCAAGTTGCATAGATTGCTCAATTAGCAAGGATTGTGCCATTTTTTAACGAAAATAGCAAATGCCGAGTAATAAAAGGTCACCAAAAATGTATTTGCATTTTTTGACCCCGTGTGGGAAGAAGTCATCACTGATACTCAAATGAGTACGTTACATACCGTAACACTTGCTGTGTTTGGAGGCATTGCTCTTGACCAATGCAGTTGCTTTGCGCAGACACATTAGTCATAGCCGGAACAGCGGCAAGGAAACATGGCGGTGTCGAGACGGTTTATTCGGGATTGGACGCAGAGTGTCTGCCGCAAGTCTGCCACACTTGTGAAGGATTTCCCACGATGGTTGTCTAGGGAAGGAAAGAGGTGGTAGTCTGTTGGTGCAAAATCCAGAGAGTAAGATGAATGGGACAATATATACCAGTCAAGTTGCCTTGGTCACCTGCGCCACATGAGGCCTAGGAATGTCAATTAGGAACACTCAACTCTTCTGATTAACCAATGACTGCCCTTGCTTCAGTGCCTGTTGCGAGTACAGGGACGGACTGATACTTTGGCCCGTTAGTAGCAACTCGTAGTGCACCACTTGTTGACTAGTCCACCAGATAGAGAAGATAATGTTTTGTGGCCGTAGAGATGGTCTTATTGCGTGTGGTACGCTTGGAAGTGTCATACAGAACACACTTTTCGTCACTGCTGATCACTCGATCAAATATGAGTACGTTGCAGTGACAAGAAAGGAACGCGAAACAGACATTCACACCTAGCATACTCAATTGTTCAACTTGTACGCCTTCCCTATGTTAACCTGGCTGATTCACCGGAATCCTGGAAGTACTCAGCTATCTCGCCACAGGTTAGCTGTTTTCCTCCTCTATGGCACCCCCTTCAGGCCTTCATCATCCAGGACCTGTGGTCGGCTACTGAGGGTTTCATCCCAAAGGGACAGATCTCCTGACCTGAACTCCTGGAACCAATATCTGGCGGGGTGTTCACTAAGAGCATTAAGCTCCAAGTATTCGGTGACTTGGTTCGGTTGCGGGCAAACCCACATTAAAGTCATACAAAAAATATATCTCGAAATCCAGAAATCTTCACCAGATTACGATCAGTTCATTTGTATCTGATGATTGCATAGTGCATGAAACTCCGAGTCATAATGTCGGCGTGAGCTATTTTGTGTATATATATATATTATTGGCGAAAACTTATAGAAGGTCCACTGATTTCCGAATATTGGTTGTATACGAAAATATTTACCGAGAAACATAACAATTAAATAAGCTAGTAATTAAATAATAATAGGCAAAATGTTCTCCCAATTTTATGTACCAATACCTTGTCGGACGTAGGTTGGGTTTGGTTTGTTTTACGGAACATCAACCTCAATGGGTTATTTAATGCTGACAAAATTTTTATTGCTGGTAATATATTTTTTTTCAAAAATGTATTATTGCTGGTAATACGTTTTTCTTCAAAAACCTATTTCTGGGAATATTTATTTCTTCAAAAATCTGTTTCGGAGAATATTTTTCCCTCAAAAAATCTATAGCTGGTAATATCTTTTTTCAAAAAAATGTACAGCTGTTTGTATTGCTGGTATTTTTTTAAAGTATTGCTGATAATAATTTTTCCTTCAAAAATTATTGCTGGGAATAACTTTTTCCAAAGTATTTCTGGAATTAAAACCTATTTTTACATAGATTTTTTTTTTTTACATACCTATTTTTTCATAGTATTTTGACAGAAGTTTGTGTATTAACTAGTTGCCCATAGCCGGGATCCTAACAGGGGCTACCACCCCGGATCAGGGTTGACCTGGGAACACCAGCAATTAAGAGGTGATTCCATGCTTTTCAAAACTTCCTGATCATAGGCCTTACTGTTGGACGTAGTTTATCGTCTTATCCAGGAGGCGGATGTAGTTTATCGTCATACACAGGACGGCTGGATGTAGGTAATCATGGCTGTACGTATACTGTAGTAGACTCAGAAATTAGTGCCCTTTCTATAAATATTCGTCTTTATAATTTGCTTTCAATTTTAGTCAAAATAATTGAGACAATGAAGATGAACTCCTAATGGCCTGGGTGTGTTCTTTCATAATATCTCACATTTGAGATCATATATATTTTTATTCATAATCATAAATATTTCAGCTATGTATTTTTTTTTTTTTGTCAGAGACAAAGCTGGGGGTAGTGGGTATAGTGAGAGATGTCCAGTCCCTGGGAATAGCTTCCCGATCCCGGGGAACAGATACTCGCGGCTGTATACAAAAAATACACCGCGACATTAAGAGGTGGTTCTACAAGAGAGGGCGGGGATTGTTAGTTATACCGATGGTCGTGCAAACGACGGTCGCCGAGGCTGGGCAATTTTTGGCCCTGGTCCGCGTGTACGCACTCGGGTAACTCACATTAAAACCAGACCATGTGTCACACGACGCCTCAGTGGGGAGACCGAGATAAATTTCATATTCGGATCAATCATGTACTCCTTTTAACAACAGCGTTCTGTAAACTTCTATCTTGAGTGGCTCGTTCACCTAATACAAGCTTCAAGGACCCCTCAAGACAGAAGGTTACTGAATGATGTTGCTGAAAGTATATTAGTTTCTCCTGGTCGTCTTTCTTCATTATGTCTTAATATTTCCCCCCATCTTTATTCTAACCGAATTGTTTCTCGACAGTTCTTGTCTATTTTTCCCCCAAATAATTTTATATGTTGCGAAAATAAAAATGATATTTAGCTACGCCCCATGAGGGTTACATATGGCACAAGGCCGGGTTTAACGTGGGATTTCTGAGCCCGTAGGCTCGACCAAAATTATTCCCTCTTTGATCCGCACAAACGGATTCAGGGGCAGTCAACCACCCCGAAAGAGACTCTGCCCTTCGGTGGATCATCGTCCGGGTTCCTCTACGCTCGAAGCCCGTCTAAGCAGAGAGTTAGACTGTTACTTCGCCCGCAGCCAAGTCGCGAAAATAAAAGTATTCTTAACAGATAAGAAACACATTAATATGAATCCAAATCACTCCTGGTGTAATGGTGATAACTTAAGGATTTCAGTAAAGATTTAAATGAGAAAGTAGACAAGACTGTATGTGTAAAAAGACACTTAAATATGAACCCTTTACTTGTGTGCATGTAACGGATTCTGCAATTGCTTCATGTTGTATTTCAGTCTAACCTTCACATGTTTACTCACTTTTCACTACTGTCAAAGCAAGAGATGCTGTTTGTTCATCAAAATATAATGGAATCATTTTCTCCAGGTTGCGCCGTCAAAGGAAATGGATATCAGGCTTTGACAGTGCTTTCTGTAGCAGGCAACACTTGATATTCACATGAATGTACGCGTTTGAGTAGACAAGTTTGCGCGAGACTTGACGAGAAGTGACGTGATATGCCGACGCCTACGCCGCGCACTATGAGTTACCTATAACAATTGAAAGAGTTGTTGATTTTGTTTTGTTTTTACGTGTATATAACTGGAGGCAGGCAGCAGCAATTAGCATGGACTAGCGTGGGTGGAATGAAAGAAACGAACTTAGTGGGGATTAAGATAAATACTAATGAGAATAAATACAAAAGAAAGAAAGGCAGAAAAGAAGGAAAAAGAAAGAAGGAAACAAAGAAAAAGAAATTAAGGATTAAGAAAAATATTAATGAGAATAAATACAAAAGAAAGAAAGAAAGAAAGAAAGAAGATAAATACTTAGGATAATAAATATAAAAGAGAGAAAGAAGATAAATACTAATGAGAATAAATATAAAAGAGAGAAAGAAAGAAAGAAAGAAAGAAGAGAAATACTAATGAGAATAAATACAAAAGAAAGAAAGAAAGAAGAGAAATACTAATGAGAATAAATATAAAAGAATTAAGAAAGAAGAGAAATACTAATGAGAATAAATATAAAAGAAAGAAAGTATGAAGAAAAGAAAACGAAACGAAGAAAGAAACAAAAAAAAATCAAGAACGAAAGAAAGACAAGGTAAGAAGAAAAAGAAAAAGGAAGAAATAGAAAATAGATAGAAAGAAACAAAAACAGAAAGAAACAACTCAAGGAGTGCGTAGAAGAAACTCCCCTTAAAAGACAAGTAAAAAAAAAAAAGAAGTAAAATAATTGTGGCGAATGATAGAATGTGAGAAGAACACAAATAAACAAAAGAGGAGAACATAAGGAGAGGAAAAAAGGTAAAAATCAATAAATGAATGAAATAAATCCGAAAATACAAAAAGATGAATATAAACAAAGCAGGGAAGAATTAAAAGGTAAGGAAAAAAAAATTGAAGAAATTACAGAATTTGACAAAATCTCAAATAAAGCAAAAATGAAAAAATAAAGAGTAAAGGAATAGGAAGCGAAAAAGAAAACAATAAAATGATGGAAAAAAAAAATAAAAAAAATATTAAAAATTGAAAAAATTATAACGATAAAAGAGGAGTGACGGAAAAAGAGAAAAGACAAAGGAATTTGCGAAAAGGGTAAGAAAGAAGTATGGAAAGAAAGAAACTACGAACAAGAAAAGAAAACAATCAGAATAAAGCATCTCGTCTACAGTCACTCTCTCACAGACGCGCCGTCGCCTCTCTCTGTCTTTTCTACAAATACTTTCATGGTAATTGCTCCGATGAGCTGCATTCGCTGGTTCCCACACTTCATGAATTCAAGCGCCCTACGAGGCTGGCATCCCGCTCCCACCCTTACACTACAGAAACTTTAAAATGTAGCCGTCTCTTCTACTCCAATAGCTTCATACCTCACACCTCTCGCCTGTGGAACACCCTTCCCTATTACTGTTTCCCTGAGAGCTATAATCTCCAACTATTCAAATGTAATGTCAATCGACAGCTCCAGTTACCTTGATCTATCCACTATCCCTCTCCTCATCCTTTCTTCTATCACTCCTATCTGCTCTCGCTCCAAATCTTCTGCAACCCCCTGCATCCTAGTGGCTTCACGCCTTGCTCGGGGCGTAATGCTTACAAAAAAAAAAAAAAAAGATTGAATTGTCATATTTTTGTTTGGTGCATAATTATCAGGCGTTTTTTAAACAATATTTTTTATGAAAAAAGAAACATAACAATTCAACAATAACATTTTTAAACGATTATTCCGGAGCATAATTACCATCTACTTATAATCATAACCGGAAAATAAAATAACATTTTTATTAAAAAAAAAGTAAACAAAACAGCAATTTTTATTAACAAATAAATCGCCTACAAAACCGCCTGATAATTTTGCACCAACCCTATAGATTTTTGAGTCACAAAGTCTAGGTTACAGCTAAAAAGATCCAGGACAGATACTACACCATAATCCTAGCTGGAAAGCCTTAACTTTCGTTAATACAAACAAGAAGAATAATATATTGTTAAACTCAGTAATAATACTGAAGAATATTTCCGCCTTACTATAAAATTGTCTGTCCAAGATTTTCCAACGACAACAAATCTTCTTTTTTATGTGCCGTGTCCCTTCAGGACGTTGGCGATCATGGCTCGCCACACAATTTCCTATTCTTTTGTTGCTTTTAATAACTTTTGTCTTTTTGCCATCGCTCCAATGCCTTGATTCGACATTTTTTTTACTCCAGTTCTCCAAGTGGTGAATTGTTTTTCTCTGTCTCATTTACCTTCAATCTGTCCTGTGAGTATAAACATTTTCTGAGTTCTCCTTCTTAATTATGTGTTCCATAGAATTTCGTCTGTCTCTTTCTGAGGTTAAGAATAAGTGTCCTTTTTTGCTAGGACTTTGCTTATATGATCAATCCATGGCATTCTTATTCTCAGCATTCTTCTACAAAGTACCGTTTCTGTCGCTTCAAGCCTCTTCTTCATTTGTATTGAAATCCATAGCAGGAATAATGAAAACATAGTCTTTTATATGTCATTTATTCTTATTTGGAACTTGCCGTATTATGATCATCAAATATCAATATTAATATTACCATCACCTACTTCTCAGCCTATGAATGTCCTTTGTTGGATGTAGACCCTCCCCGGAGACATAGGGACGAATGAGCCATTCCATTAAGGTGTTGACCCGATGCGCGTTACTAACGGTGGATATGATCTGTCTGGGCGGTGATATCTCATTTCGATTCATGATCGCCCAAGGATACGAGAGTAAGTAAAAAAAAAAAATGTCCGCAATGTCGCCGTAACATTTCTTTAGATTTGTCAAACTGCCTTCTGTTTGTGCATGCTTATACTTGGTACTATTGTGGTCACGTGATCACACCAGTGTTCTTGCTGCTGTTACAGCGTAAACATGCCCGCTCCGCTAGCAGTGTGCAACAAGGATGAACCAAGTGCAGTGATCCGTATCTGCAGAGGACATGCTACCTCATCGATGTGTCCTGTTCCTTCTTCGTGCGTAACGCTTGTCCGGCCAATTTTTGAAATTCTCGAACCACTCATACACCCGTCTACGCCGTAGTGCATTTTCGCCGTATTGTGTTAAAAGATTCCGCTTATTTTCGGCGCCTGACGCACCTTCCGAGCAGAGAAATCGGATCACTGTCTATATTCCATAGTGGTGCACACTGCTGACTTGTCCTCGTATTTGCATAAGTGAATGTAACGGACCTGACTGAAATTCGAACTTGGCTCTATGATTTCTCATCCCGATTCATTATCTATTGCACCAACCGCAATTCCAAGCTTACAGCAGCTGGTGTGGTTTGGGTTTGGTTTATTTTGTTTTACGGCATGTCAACCTCAATGCCAACTAGATGTTTTAGGATAGGTTACCATGAGTAGAATAAGTATTCCTTGTAAGAAATCAGTTTGTAGATCAGTTTTCATCGATGTAAAGAGTTTTTTGTTGAGTTCCAAACGTATTGCCGGTAATATTTTTTCCAAAAATGTATGGCTGGTGTTTTTTTTTTTACTATATAAACCTCTTTTTACACTTTCACGGTTTTACTATATAAACCTCTTTTTACACTTTCACGGTGTTTTGATCCCAGTTTGTGAGTTAACTATTTTCCCATAGCTGGGACCCTGACAGATGCTACCACCCCGGATCAGGATTGACCTGAGAATACCAACAATTAAGATGGTGGTTCTACATTCTTCAAAACTTCCTGATCAGAGGCCTTGCTGCCGGATGTAGTTTATCGTCATACTCAGGACGCCTCTATTGGGGAAGTCTTACCCCTCTGCATAGGTGTAGGCGGCGTATTCTGAAACCCAGCCAACAGGGCGGTACTGCACATAGTATAACCATCTAGGTACTAAACAGGCTCGACGTTGCTCGGAGGAGAATCGCAAGATTTTCCTCTAATCTGAAAGAAATCTATTTCCAAGACGGATGTCGTAGTGGAATAAACATTTAAATATATTGGATTCTCTGACGGCCGTGAGTTCAATCGTTGGGTCAGGAAGAGCTGAGAAGAATATTGAACTCATGGTGGAAACGAAAAAAACGACAGAGGCGAATCAGATTTCCGAGTATTTTAACTGAGGGTGAATATACCCTATGATTACATAGCTTTACTCTAATGGAATGAAATTTAGAAACTGAAGATTCAAGGAAAAGCCTTTTCAGAGTTGCCCAAACCCATCATCTCAAATAACTCCAATACCGATTAATTGTATAAATTCTTCAATGTGTGTATGTTTGTCTATTTCTAGAGGTCTATAGTAACCAATCTACACGTGAGTGGCTTAATGTTTAGCTAGCGTCGTTGCTTGTATTTCCGGCGGTGACTTCGAACGATGGACAGTTCAAGTGTCACATCTGCAAACAAGTATCTAAGACTGAGGTTGGGCTGAAGAGTCATATACGTGCACATTGTCGTACGGTGATCAATGAGGAGATGGCGTTTGTCTAACAAGAGGATACAATGATCACACACAAACACACACACACACACATAGATAGATAGATAGATAGATAGATAGATAGATAGATAGATGCATATATACATACATACATAAGGATCAGACATAAACAGATAATGAATAGATAGATAGATAGATAGATAGATAGATAGATAGATAGATAGATAGATACATACATACATACATACATACATAATGATCAGAGATAAACAGATAATGAATGGATAGATAGATAGATAGATAGATAGATAGATAGATAGATAGATAGATAATGATCAGAGATAAACAGATAATGAATAGAATAGATAGATAGATAGATAGATAGATAGATAGATAGATAGATAGATAGATAGATAGATAGATAGATGCTGAGAAAGAAAGAAAGAAAAAAGAAGTATAAACATGAATTACACAGAATAACATAAATCATAATAAACGGAGATATGACTATAATGTGATGCATATGAAGATAGGCAGATAGATAGATATGAGTATATTCTGATAGATAGATAGATAGATAGATAGATAGATAGATAGATAGATAGATAGATAGATACTGAGAAAGAAAGAAAAAACAAACACGAATTATATAGAATAACATAAATCATAACAAAGAGAGATACGACTATAATGCGATATATATATATATAGATAGATAGATAGATATGAGTACATTGTGGTAGATAGACAGATAGATATAAGTATATTGTGATATATATATATATATATATATATATATATAGATAGATAGATAGATAGATAGATAGATAGATAGATAGATAGATACTGAGAAAGAAAGAAAAAACATAATCTCGAATTTCATAGAATGACATAAATCATAACAAAGTGAGATATGATTATAATGTGATATATATGAATATAGATAGATAGCTATGAGTACATTGTGATAGATAGATAGATAGATAGATAGATAGATAGATAGATAGATAGATAGATAGATAGATATGAGTACATTGCATCTATTCTTCAAGTAGTCATAATATCTACTTAAATAGCAACATTCTGATGGCTTAGCTTCATACTGGTGGGCTTAAGAAAGAGAACGCCTAGTTCAGGATCAAACTCGAATTCAAACTGCTTAAAGAATATAGACGTAAAATATAGTTCTAGACAGACTTTCTCATTTGGGGTCTGTGAATGACGTTTTCAAAGAGTAAAATTTACAAACATGTACAAATGGATGTGAATGAGCAATTGGTAATACGAACTGAGGTCACAATTAGAGAAAATAGGATGAGAATAGAAGAAGAAAAGAAGGAACAATGATGGTAAGGGAGGTGGAAGTAGTAGTAGAAAAAGAAGAAAAAGAGATAATGAAGAATGAGTAAATACAGTGAAATGATAAAGACGACGAAGAGGAAGTAGATAAAGAAAATGAACATTGAAGAAATAGAGTGAAACGACGACGACGACGAAGAAGAAGAAGATGAAGAAGAAGGAGAAGATAAAGAAGGAGAAGAAGAAGAAGAAGAAGAAGAAGAAGAAGAAGAAGAAGAAGAAGAAGAAGAAGATGAAGAAGAAGAAGAAGAAGAATATGAAGAAGAAGAAGAAGATGAAGAAGAAGAAGAAGAAGGACAGGAAGTTATACAGTGAAAAGAAGTACGAAGACGACGAAGAAGATAAAAAAAAATAAAAATGAAGAACTAGAGTGAAACGACGAAGACGCCGATGAAGAAAAAAAAGAAAGAGTAGTAAAAGAAAAATTGGGCAGATAAATGAAGGAGAAGTTAAAGGAAAGAAAAAATGAAGAAGACGAGTGAAATTAAGAAGAAGAAGAAGGTGAAAGAATGAAGAAGAGAAATGATGGTGAATGAGAATATGAAGAAAAATTAAAAGTATGAAGATTTAAAATGAAAAATAGTAAAATGACGACAACGACGAACAAGAAGAAGAATCAAGAAGCGTAAAATAATAAGGAAGAAGAAAATGAAGAATGGCGAGATGAAATAAATACAAAATGAAGATGAAAATAAAAAGAATCGTAGAGAAATGACGTAGAGGAAGAAGAAGGATATGAAGAAATGAAATATGAAAAGAAATATGAAATGACGAGGATGAAGACGAGGAAGACTCAAATGAAGAAAATAAAATATTAAGATGAGAAAGAAGTAAAAAAGAAAACATAATAATGAATAAGTAAAGGAACAAAATTCGAAAAACAAGAAAAATAAATTAAAAAAAAAATATGGAAAAAGCAAGATAGAAAGAAAGAAGGAAAAAAAGGAAGCAGAAAAAGAAGAAATTAATGAGGCAAAAATAAACAGAATTAAGCATTAATTAAGAAAATTATCAATTTAATGAAAGCAATTTTATTCATCTTAATTCCACGCCCGAAAAGATTTATTAATTTAATCACTTCAGTATCTCTCTCAATTACGTTTTTTTTTCTTACATTTTTCTTCCTCTTTTTTTTTCCTTTTGCTCAACGCTCTTACATTATATTGTAGAAAACAAAAAACGTGTCATTGATTTCGCACATAATCCCTTGTTAGGTAAAATTATTCAACCATGGCCTTTTCAACTCATTTAAATAATCAGATAATTCGAGGAAGAGGTGACGTGCACCCCTCACTACTCACACGTGTACACATCTGATTTCCTGAACACTGACTCCGACAATATCTGTCATTACCTCACACTGCCTACACGTCCATAGTTTTCTTTTTTTTAATCTTTTGCTTTTTCTTTCTCAATTAAAAGCTCCGGGATTTTTACAATTTGTCAGCGGAATGTATGACTTATTAATCAATATATCGATCTTGATTTATTGCCCGTTGCTTCGCTAATAGAACGGAACGCCATCACTTGTCGATCTTTATCTTGATTATAAATAAAAACACTTTGTATATTGATTATTGCATTAATTTGTTACCGTGTCGCAGAAAAAACACCTTTGTTAAATAGTAATTCGTATCAAATGAAAGACTGTCAAAAATTATTAATTTTCCCTTTTATTTATTGCATCTTGAGTTTAGTTTTCTTCCATCACAAATGCTAATATCATTAGTTTACACATACTAATAATGGTTGGAAAGGCTTCATCTATTAAGAATAGAAATAAAAATAACTATTTCAAATAGTATGCTATTAATGAATTCTGTCTATATTTCTGAGATGATGTATTGTAGTTATTTACGCTATTTACATTATTCAGACTGTTGTCCTTATTTTTATTGTCATATTCACGACGCTTCAGCCGTTGTACGCTCGGACTTCGTCCACCGAAGTAAAAACAAAAAATTGTTCCAGTAGAAATACTCCAGTGTACGAAATAAAGGGTTCAGCTCGAAATTCTAATCACCTGAAGAAGGCCGGAGCATACAACCGCCGAAACGTCGTGAATATAGCAAGGAAGATTAGGACAACAGTCAAAACAATGTAAATAGTGTAAATAATTACTAATTAATTACTGAAAATTCGAACCCGAAAATATATACAATGGCATTTTAGTGATGAAGGTTTTTTTTTTCTGAATACATGTGTAATACTAGTTTCGGGAGATGCTATTTTAACCATTCCAAATAATAACATCGTAAGAAACCATAAGAAAGAAAGCCAAGACGGAATATATTTGCATGGAAAAATTTTATGGGCTGATGGCAGAACTGGGAAAAAAACTTTTGAAAAATCCGCCATCCCAAGAATACGTAACATACGACCGCCGAGATGCCATAATCCTGGCGGTGACGATAAACTACATCCAGTACCAAGACGTCTGATCGGGAGATTGGAGGTTTTGATGAGTGTGGAAGCATCTTATAATTGCTGTTGATCCCAGGCCCAGGGTGGTAACACCTGTTAGGGCCCCAGTTATGGACAAAAAGTAGACCCCCAAACAGACCAAAAACCACAAGAAAGTATAAAAATACATTTTTTATAATAAAATTATCAGCCATATCTATTTCTAAAAGAATTATCAATAACACATTTTGTCTGTAGTTGAAGGTATACAACTGGGTTCAAAATATTTAGATTTCGGTATTAAATATCCCATAGCGGTGCTGACATGTCTCTAAACAAAATCATCCAGTCAACCGAGATGACAGCTTCTACTTAGTCAACTCAGGCGGGCTTACCTGACGGGAAAATGCTGAAAATCCGAAACCTTTAATGAATCTTGGTAGACATCACTGATGACACATATAGGAACATTCAAAGAATGGATGTTTCGAGTAATTTTCAAAATAAATACGTATTGGTAAAGAAAAAATACATCAACGTCTTTTAGAATTTCAAAATCATATCATATAATCCATGTTCTTGAAAATGACTAACAATAGATGAAAATCTAGAAAACATATGTGGGGAAAACGTTCAAAAAACACTCGAATGGAAAAAGTGTTAGCTTGTACAAAAACAAAAGTTAATTATTAAAAGAATTGTAAAAACGAACGTTGTCAGTGGTCTTCAGTAAAAATTGTTAATACTACAATTTTAAATGTCATGCTCTATCAGGGCGTAGCGGCTCAAGGCTCTCCACAACTTTCTTTGCTATAACGATATAGACCGTTTAAATCTTTCTTTTTTTTGGTTTCTCGCCGTGGTGTAATTTTTTGCGAGGCTGATCTAGTTGATCATTATCACAAAGAAATGAGTTCGATCCTCAGAGAATATTGAATTAACCATTTTATTTTTCGGGAATAAATGAAGATCTTTTGACATACAATCTACTAATTAACCCATAGCTGTGTGTGGAAAATTATTTTTTTTTTATCTTTCCCAATCGTATTTGAGAGTAAGTGAATGTAATTTACCTGACTGGAATTCGAACTCGGCTTTCCGATTTCGCATTCAGAACTGCCATCATTGGTCAACCTGCACATTAGGGAAGGGAAGAAGCATGAAGAACATATTAGGTGGATATGTACGATAGATAAGACTCGAAGAAGATAAAAATCGTAATGATCGAGAAAACCTATTCTCGGGTGTCTGTTTCCCAAAATAACACTTCTGTTGAAAAGTTATCTGGGTGGAACTTCCACCTTACTAATGGAATACGAAGTGAATGAAAATTATGAACGTAGTATGGTGAGTACTATCCTATGAATTTCTTACTTGCTGGAACTAAAGATTGGAGCTGGCCTTCACATTTGCTATGCGAATAGCTATAAAATAGGAAAAATAATTTATATCATTATCACTATTTTCTCTGTCATGGTGTGGGCGATCATGGCTTTCCACGGATTTCGTTTCTTTATTATCTGCAATTCTCAAGACATCTCAGCAAAGACAGTGAAGTAGTTTCTCATTGCATTATCTACGGTTTCAATTCAGACTTCTCCTCGACTGTTATCAACAAAGGCTCGAGTGCTCTGTGTCAATTATCTAGAGTTCATCTCGTAGAATATAGTTTGTTCCATTCTCCTTCCAAACATGACCTGCTATACCGGAATTTTTCACCACACCATTCATTATGGTTTTCTGTTTTTTTCTTGAGACTGACTTGAAGAGAACGACTGGTTTCTTTTATTAATGAATGCTTTCCTTCAATTGTCGACTTACTTACGAATTTGATTTTATTTTCATTTGCACCTGACAAAAACTAATGAATTGATCGAGTGCTTTCTTGTAACGAAGCAAAAGCACTCGTACAATGATCGGTTTGTTAATGACTCTTCTCTAACAATGCTTAATTAATAAACTTTTATGTCCCAATTAGGTTGCACAAACGTTTTCAGCTGGTAATATTGATTAGATGAAAGACGTATTTATGCAAATTATTCCTGGTAATTCTTTAATCGGGTTTAACACCTTGACGACCCATAACATAATCACCCGACGTAATCATGCCCTATCGAAATTCGTCGATGATTATTGTTAGAAAAAATATATATATATATATATATATATATATATATATATATATATATATAAAGAACAAATAGAAACATTTATCAATCAAACATGTTTCACTTTTTGTGAATAAAAGTGAAACATGTTAGATTGATAAACTCTTCTA